TGAGGCACAGTCCCTCCGTCTCGGTTCCAATGGGATTCTTCACATGTGTTGACCCTACTTGTTGTAACATCTCAATGTGTTGTAGCTGTATGGCCCAATGCTGCCGCCCTGCCAAACTAGATGCCAATGCCTTGATATTCTGTTGAGTGGCATCATATATCCGCGCATTGATGTCAATCAATTGTGCGCTACCAACGTCAGGCTAGGCTCATGTTGGCCAATATGCGCTACAGGGACCAATCGGCTTACCAGCCATTACCCCAAGGATGTAATAGTCCAAAGTTCTCACATAGCAAATAACTAATACTTCGAGTGGCAACTATTGCTATCAAGACACTGTAACCATTACAATTCCTAAATTATGTTATTGTATGTACATCATGACTCGGTTGCCTGGGCGCGACGCGACATGCCAGAAATTGTTTGTGACAGTGTATAAGTAGTAGAGGAGACTTGCAGGTAAATTACTTCTCCATAGATTAATTATAGCTTTACCTTTCAGTCATACAAACTGTCAGAATTTATCATATTGGGTCTATCAAGTAGGCCACGTTGTTGATACACACGTGACTACAAATTTTGTACTTAGTTCCACTTTGATAGTTACTTGAATCAATGAGCTCTACGACCTCGATGACTGACGGGTCATTATTTCCTTAGTGGGTTAGGAGCCCAGATTGTCGCTCGCGCAATCACGTTGTATTGCCCGGTGTTTAATACTATCTTTGTTGTGGGCAAGTGGGAGGGCTTATGCCCTACTTGCACCAAATTAATCCAGCTAGGAGGCCATCACCTTCTTAAATCCAAAACAAGACCATGGCCTTCGAGTTGCAATCGCTAAAGATAAGTGAATGGCCGCCGCCGGAGAAGACAGGAGGTTATTGCCTTCAATAGAGAAAGCACAGGTCAATTACTGAAGATCGGGGTCACTGCAAAACCCTCGTGAGGATTGATGGTTCCCATACGCACCGGTAGCTAGTGTTGTAATGGAAGTTGTATAGAGAAGCGTAAGCTGTTAGGCTTGTATTTAATATCACCTAGTAAAGCGAGTTGGGAGATTGAAGAGTCTAAAAACTATAGTAGAGAGTTGTTAATTAAACTCACTTAGTATCAGGGCGCTATTTAAACCAATTACTACATCTAAGTGAAGGGCACGATTCACTTGTTTATGCTAAATAATTGGGAGGCTGGTCAATATATGAGTCGTCATGAATGTGGCTAGTAATAATGGAACCATATTACGTTCCATATTAATGTGACTCTTCATTGCCAAGTAGCGCCAATTTCAACAGTTATTGCATGCTTCAAAAATGTGTGTTTCATGAAGCCATTTACTAACCGCTATGGTACCTTCAGGAGAGCCTAGAATCCAGGGAATTCCCAGCATTGAATGTCTACTCACAGCTATACTGTGGGGAGGGCAAGACTGAACACCTGTACGCGGTGTCCTCTACGAACCTGGGAGTGAAATATTCTCCCAGAGCCAAGTTCAGTCAAATTTCGCAATATCAAAGAAGTTGGCCCACGAGGCAGTGATTAAAATTACTCCTCCACATCGTTTTTTCGTTCTCAACGAGTTTGACTCCTACCTAAGTCTCATCAAGTCTATAAGTACGACCTAGTACATCCTCACCCCAATGACCGCACCTCTCTCCGACCTTCTCTGGCCTCAGTTGACCACCAAATACACGCCTACGCCGATATTTATACCTGATGGAGGAAGCAAAGCGTGGCGCACAAATCTGGGAGACAGTTCTTTGGGATGGACGTGAGAGGGATCAGGACAAGTTTACAAGATGATGCAAAGGAAGGATATAACCTTGAAGGGAGTGAAATTCCGAATTTTGGCAAGCAGTTTTACGAATTGAGCTTTGTGCGCGCCAAGACTTCGCTTGCGAGAGTGCAGCTGTCACTATAAAAACAAGCAAACGATGGAAGGTGTTGTGGTCCGCCTCCTGGTGGTGTTCTCTGGTATGGTTTGAGTAGCCTGGGCACCTACTCCACTTGGGAAAGAGACACCTCAGATCACATATCGCGCGGAGAAAAGTTGAAAGATGATGAAGGCATGTCTGGATAACTCAGGGTTTTTGAGAGGTTCCCCTGGGTGGGTATTCACGGATGAGGGTTGACTTGGGGTGAAGAAAAAGCCACCATAACTTCGCAGTGGTACTTGCAAATGAAATCTGAGGCATGAGTGCTCTTCCTTTACGTTGAATCATCTATCTGTACTTTTCTTTGATATTGTGTCATAGCTAGATAGCTGCATACGCAATTAAAATCTGATGCAAAAAAAAAAAAAAAAAAAAAAAAAGCTATACTGTGGATCCTGGCAGGTGCATCTATGCTGAGGTCATCATGTGATCCCCACATCATGTAAAGGGTTTAAAGAATTCAGAAGTACTTGAAAGACGTTAACTCAATAGGAATTGATAATTTTTCCTTGGGAAGCTAATCTGCCTACGACGGCACCTGTCCTTTATGTCCTCCTCAGCGTCGCGTTTAAGCTCCCCTCCTAGCCTACCTGAGAATTCTCCATTCTCCCCGGCTACCCTCTTTCCTGTGACATCCTCCCCCCCTTAGTACGTACTCCCTTGGGTCCTTCCTCATGCGCAACCTTGCAATTATCCTTATGCAACACTGAGACTCGTTCTAGTGCGCAACCTTGCATTAATCCTTATGCGACACTTAGATCCCTCTTTGTGCGTATCCTTGCATTCTTCCCTATGCAACCTTTCGCGTCTCTGTGAGCGCTGCTTCGTTGGCGCTTAAAGATCTAGCCGGGTTGGTCCTAGTGACCAGTCCCAATCCGGGCACAGCCCGTAACACATCATGACACTTCTGCTTTTACGTTTTAGATAAACCAACATTAACTTCAAATTTCAATAAATCCAAACCTCACGGATCCTAATATCTCATCTCTGTTCTATGATCTTCAATATCTTACAATCCGTATAGTATTAACTTGAAGGTCAACCATCACCTCTATCATTCCAAATATCTCCGGAACTTTGACACGTTTATTTAACCTAAGCAACGAGTGATGACAGTCTCAAGCTCTCTCCACCTGTGGTGGGCTTGGAATGGCATTTTTGGAAATCTAGACTTAGTATGTGTGAAGGTTTAGATTTCTAGGTATGATCGTCAAGATCAATTGAATTGATTCGATTGGATATGATTAAGCTCAGCTAAGCGACATGAGGCTCGGTGACATCTGTAATGCAGTGGCTAGGGTATGCGACCTTGTGATAATTGATGGCTCGTTGTTGCTAGATCACTGGGACTTCGGGATCACTAACGACTTGGCCATCTGTTTTTAAGGATAGACTCATTTGTATATGTTAAACTAAGTTAACGAGATATTATATATTATTAATTCATATTGAGAAGTGGGTTCGATATTCCATTCAACTGTCAATAAATTCTTATCCTAATTTGTACACCTGTTCTTCGAGATATTTCCTCCTAGAAATCCTTGACAATTTCTAACGCATGTCCCAAGAAGAGTCATGGTCATGAGATATGCGGAAGTCATTCTGTAGAGTGGTGATGAGTGGATTATGTTACATTTTATGGGAGACAGTGAATAGAACCATACAATACTATGGTATAGGTATTTGAAAAGAAAGTATAAGACCAGTCCTATGGCCATTTATTGTAGTTACATCTAAAATTACATACATGCCCGCCGAAATAGTACACTGGTGTTATATGCTGTGGCCTTGAGCCACACGCATTACCCTGACCTCGACTACTTCGTTGACTCATATCATAACGAGAAGCCCTACGAGGAGCTATGACTCCTTCGTCGCTTTCCTGGATATTTGATTGAATGTCGAACTGGACACGATAGATTCCGCGCTTATCATAAAATGTTCCAACAGAAAAATCCCCTCATTCCTTGCTTCTCTGGGGTATGTTGATCAGTCACTCATTTGACTCTTTACCCCTCATACGAGTGGCACTGATCTCTGCCGGTCTCCAACGAAGCTTGCGTCCTCTAGATTTTATTGTCGCCACCTCGCGTGGTGCTAAGTGCTTCGTCTCTATGTTGGAGATGCCTGAGTTTCTGTCCAATATGGGATTGTTTAGATGGTAAATCTTCCGTCAAACAACGTCGTTTATTAGGTTCTCTCTAAACTCTGCTCTATCTGCACTGTGTGATCTAGTCAAATGAGGATTACGCTGTATAGCATTCACAATATCTTGGGGGAATTTCTTCTCAGTGCCGATCGGCATCTAATTGTACATTAATATGTTTTTTTTTTAAGAATTCACCATTTTCCCTCTAGAATGAGGTAATAGCCGCGACTTTCGCTCGGTTGAACTTCAAAGTAAATAAATATTAGAGCCTTAGCTGAAATAACTTAATAATAAGATCCCAAAATAATCATTTCTCACCCAATCTGCCTCCAACAGTCATTTGTAGTCCCTTAACCTAAATATATCCCATATTCCTTCCTTGCCGTACCGATCAGGGTAGTTTAAGCCCAAAGATTTGTCGTGACAGACTTCTTAGATTCAAGAAAAGTCCGGTAAGCCCTAAAGTGGTGTTCAAAGTTAAGGCAAACGGTCACTGCACACAAGCAATACGATAAAATAATTAATATTCTTCTATTGGAAAGAAAATTACATATGGATTGTTCCAACACAAAGTGTGCCCTAACAATAATCTTAAATAAGCACTCCAATTGGATCTTAGTGTAAAAGGCTGAACTTTTTGCTATACACTGATTGAATGCAAGGCTGGGTACGCAGGTCAGCCCAGACAACTAATAACGGGTAATCCCATGAAATGTGAAATTCTTATTTAAGTTAATACCTGGATGAGCCAATTAGAAATTTCACAAATTTTTGGTAGACTGAACTTACTCTAAATCTAGTTTCATCTTTTCAATTCACCTCATGACGCTAGATGTCTTTAGTCTTGCCCATCTCGAAAGATCGTGAGAAGATGGATTCCTGGCACAATCCAGCTTCCGCCCAATCATAGCCGCTTCCCGTCAATAGCCATATTGTGGCACTCCCATCCATCTTGAATACTGTTGAGGGCCAGGAGCCCCCATACAGCCTGAGTTTCCTGGTTGAGGAATGTACTGGCTAGGAAAATAATATTGCTGTGGTTGTTGAGGTTGTGGTTGTGGTTGTGGTGGCGGTGTTGGTGTTGGTCGTTGAAAATGAGACATGTTGCCATATGACATGGGATGATGAGGCGGTGCTTGGTTCATGAATCCTCTGGGATCCATGTAGTTGTATCCGGCCTGACCATACGGAATTGAATTGTACATCTCGTTTCCGTGGTGAAGCGAGTATGGGCTCCAATAATTGCCTCGTAAAGTTTGGAACCCACCAATATTTTGCCCCATAGGCCGGGGTACACTAGACATATTTGCGTGCTGTCTCAGCCGCGTCGTCCGTTGCCTCTCGTTGCGAAGGTCACGCTTGAGCTCTACCAACGTCTTGTACAATTCATCCCCGTCGCGTCTCAAGGCGGTCATGCGGCTATGAAGCTTGGAATTGTTTTCCAAGAGCTCCCGGACTCTCATCTTCTCTTGTTTGATCCCTCTCTCTACCGATCCGAGAAGGCCTTGGAGATAGTTCACGTCTAACACTTCATCTTTGAGGGTCTCTTTGTAAGCATGATGGCCGAGTGGTGGAAAACATTTTCTCTCTTGCTTACCAGATCGTTGACTCTTAGCTCCAGGCGCAAATTGCGTCCTTTTTGGGATACAAGTCGGCATTATGTTTAATGTGAATATGTATAAGATTATGAGAAACTTGGTTTTTTTGAACAGCTGATAAAAATCTGGAATATACGAAAACTTTGTAATAATGATGGAGACTGAGTGATGAGGTGAAGACTAGCAGCAGAGGAGCTACATATAAGTACTTCTATGAAGATACTTCACTCACCATCAAGAACGGGCTCCGTTTTTATCCTGCTGCTATCCACCCCTTGGTTGCATTGGAGGAAGAGACTGCTGCTTTGTGGATTCTGATTCTATCCAGGCTAGAATGGGGCTGTGTTTCGTAACCAACTATCAAAGGCCATCCAGTTTCGATCAAAGAATCTAATATTGATCATCTGTCTGCGTAAAGCATCAAAACCAACAAAAGTGGGGGTCCAGGTTCAGAGGTATGATATGAGTCACTACCAGTAACTCTTTTACATTCATCTGCTCAAATATCATGCATTATACCTGCCTGATGCTGATATCCATTCAACTGATTTGTATCAAGATTTTCAGCTATTATTATTTATAACTGCATTAATTGTACCGATGGTGAACTGTTATCCTATCATCTGCATCTGTTTCATTGCTCCTCATACTTATGGAATCCATTGGCTGTGGTCCTGGGGGTAAGTATACAAGGGGAAGCTTTGAATGAATAACCTTCCGCTAAATTTATCTCGGCCTGATATTCCGATACGCATTTCTTTGTATAATTGCGAGAGTCGTCAAGTTTACTCCACCTTTGCGTTTAGCTAGGCCCAGCCATGGTGTTTGCAAGCATATCATGTTTATGGCGGGTGTTGCTGTGGGTATCTTGTGTTCTAGTCTTGCCAGCAGTGATGAATACAGATTGCATAGCGCCCTCACATTCTATTTCGGGAACAAACCTGTATTGACCATTCATTCCGACATCATCAATACCTGGATGTTTTAAGCGAAAGAAATGTTTGCAGCAAGTGACATCCAATGATATCTTAACCAAAATAACAACGTGCCATATCGCATGCGTTTAAATCCCCTGCTTAATCTTCGACATAAAATACTGTGTTTGGAGTTATGAAACACCTATCGTCTCAACCATCAGATTTGCCTTTTCCCACATGGGACGAAGAACCTTTAGTGGCACATTATGATTATCAATTTTAAGAAGTTAGAGGCACAGAATAATAGATCATTCTACACATGATGCAAGCTGTCGTCCTAGTATCATACTGATGTTCAACTGAATCTAGAATATATCCGAACAACGATAGTCCTTATCCACCGAGACTTTGCGAATGCCCTGCATCAGGCACACACCTTTATCGACAAAGGAACCTGACGAAGCAGATCAAAGGCACCTAGTAACTTTAAGTTTATCTCTTTGAATTCCTAAAATTAATTTTTGAACCGAATTCCAGAGTCGAACTACAGTCCAGATTGGCGAGACGAATTTTGACTTATGGGCCAATGATTCATATCCTCTAAGCATTTTAACCATTCCCCTCCAAATGGCTGCCTCCAATTAGTGTCATATCATTTCTTGAAGTCAAATTTAGCTTATTTTCATTTTAAGGGAAACACTCCTCATTGTATTAGTTTATGACCATCAAATTCACGCTTACCAAGATACGTACAATGGTATCATACTATACAAAGCGGTCTAAATATTTTGCGGTTGGTCGTTGAAAAGGGGGTCAAAACTATCAGCAAAAGTGTAAAATATATTTTTAAGGATTTGTATAACCTTGGAAGTAGAAAGAACTCAATTTTTTGGGAGGTATATTTTCGTATCAAGGGGTATTGTAGGCGTAACGATTTAATCGGGTCAGTATCGTTAGATTAAATTATACAGTTATGACCTTGTTGCGCAGCAATAGAAACTCTAGGGAAATTTAAAGATCGATTTAAGATAATATTGGCGTCCATCCAGTGAGAACAATGAGACTAGTGACACGCATTCAGCTATCTGACAACTCTTTGTATCGTACACGCAAGGAATAGGTATTATGAATTTTCTTTCATTAATATCAACGGAAGACTTGTCATTAATTTTTATCATTAAATTTATGTGTCAAAGTAATTTCAGAAAAGGACTTCGAATATGTGAGTTTCTCAAATCAAGACTTTTGAAATTATTTACAAAGCATCGATGATATATATCAGTTTCATGATCGAATACGAAGGGAATGAAGATCTAAAACCCCCAATTTATACAACACAATACTCTAAGTAATATATGGTCATGCCTTTTTTTTTAATTCATTTTATCGTCCTGTCTGAGTTTAAGACTATGTAGGACATGTAGGTCCCCTCTTCCTACAAGCCAAGGATACCTATCTACTAGTATACCCCCTCCTATGCCTCCCATACAGCTTTCTTTAAATAGTACCACACATCGCAACTCCTCATTCTATCATACACTAAGAGGAGCTCTTTGCCCTTCATCATCTCCCCTCTCTAGCTAACGAAACGATGGCTATTTGCGGATGTGTGTCAGCCGGGAAAATTGCCAAAACCACTGGGTGCAGAGCTCTCTCAATACCGACATTAAGACTAAATCCAAAAACATAGTGACCCTTCCGAAGCGTTCGAAGAAGCCGGCCAGCTGGGCGTTGCAGACTTGTGGGTACCTCAGGAAATTCACCTTCTATCTTTTAGCCTCCTTCCAACCTTATCCCGAAGTTCGTGCTGAGATGTCAGAAAAATCTTGAAATAAATTGATTAATTTATGATAGGTTATCCTGACTTCGTTTGTGCCGTTGACTCACCGGCTATAGAAGTCCTCCTGGCTTATTTGCCGAAATCTTGGTCCAGGAGCCCACAAACGTTCCAACGGATAAAAACAACCTCCAAAATGTCAGTCCTGATATACCCACAATAGGTCTCTTCCTTATGTCTTTCTGCGCCCCAGTCATCTGTCTTTCCTCAAGAAATAGAGCCCCGTCAGAGCAACTGTCCCTCGTAAGCCAAATCTCAAGCTTTATATCTCACGCTAAATTCTCCTCCTTGCAAGTGCATGTAGCATCGTAAATCTGTGGATGGAGATGGCCAGTAATCAATGGAGTTAGCTCCATTCTACAATTGGAGTAACTCCTTTATCGGTCGTGGAGGCGAGATAATGTTCCGTTGCATAGAGGTTGAAGACTCAATTAATAATAGTGAGATCGACAGTTTTGAAAAGTCGTCAAATGTTGATTTGCACGTTCTTGCTTTTGACTTAGATTCGAATGCGATTCTACTTCGCTATCCCAAATATGCAGAGCATACTGAGCTATTACACCGGCGCCACTAGAGGGGGAACTGTTCGTATTTGCCAGCTTTACAGATTAATTGGGTACAGGGATTCGGTAAGAGTGAAGGAAGAGTTGGTTGATGGGCATTACACGACCAAGACTTTTGTGGTTTCATATTTTGGTACTTGTGCACGCCAACAATATGGATTTGGGACCTCTCCCAGTATTTTGAACTCAGACAGTGTCTGAAAGGAATGAGCCAACCACGGTTTTGGAAGGTACAATCGCTACATCAAAAATGGAACAAGCCTTGTTTCGGTTGATCAGGTGTGAAAAATGATCTCGATCATCATGACAACAACTTGTGCAAATTGAGGTACAACTATAAAATTATTACGAAAATCGTGACCCCTCGGTCATTAAGGTTGTAGAGAATTTTCATTCAAGTAACTACCAGAGTTAAGCCAATTACATAATTTGTAGTCACTTGCCTTTTTACAACGTGGTCTTCTTAGGAACCCTCTTCAACCTACCTTCTACTAAGAATTGTAAATCTTACAGGGCGATATCGGGAATATAAACGAAGAGTTGAGTACTAGTAAGACATAAGATTGGTATTATCTCGTGATAATTTTTGAGAACCGATCAAGAAGGATCTTTTATGTTTGTTGATATTGACTACTCGTTTCTTATATATAATTGTTCCATCCGTGCGACTCTCACATGTAGATTATCAGGTTAGATCACATCAAGTTGGGTGACGTTGTTGAGTCGGGACAAAAGTATTTATCTAAATAGTCCTAGATTTTCCATGTAAAGTTGGATAACCTTACGAAAGAGTAGCTCACTCACCATCTAGAAATCTTCAGCTCATCATAAATACTGGATATGTCTCAAAGCCTAACCTCCCATTTCGTCCAAGAAATCCTTGTGAAATTTAACAACATCGTTTAAGCGAGGTAAAGAATGAAATCGCGTAAATATGTGGCCGTTGGTATTTGCTCTTGTTACAAATATTCGTGTATGGTACTACGTCCAGCAAAATAGGATAAACTCGACCTGAATTTTCCTGGGCTAATGAAGGGGCAGGAAGATTGATCACTTACTCGTCATAGAATTCAATTTATGATCACTCGAACTAGATAATGGGAACCTAATTTTTAATAAACTACCAATTATGTAAATTGTATTTTATTTCTTTCTTTCCGTTACCCGTAATCACCGTTAAAACATCAAGTCATTTCTTTCCAGTCTACTGGCCTAAGTTAGATTCCGATATTCCATTCACCTGGCTCTGCGCCCGAGGACGATTTTTTATCTTAAACAAGTATTCCAGGCAAACTACTTGATCACGATCCTCAAACTTGAAATTTATCCTTTTGTCGAACAATATAGCCTGAACTCGATCTAGCAGTAGACGCTTCCCATCAATAGCCATATTGTGGCACTCCCATCCATCTTGAATACTGTTGAGGGCCAGGAGCCCCCATACAGCCTGAGTTTCCTGGTTGAGGAATGTACTGGCTGGGAAAATAATATTGCTGTGGTGGTTGTGGTGGCGGTGGCGGTGTTGGTTGTTGAAAATGAGACATGTTGCCATATGACATGGGATGATGAGGCGGTGCTGGGTTCATGAATCCTCTGGGATCCATGTAGTTGTATCCGGCCTGACCATACGGAATTGAATTGTACATCTCGTTTCCGTGGTGAAGCGAGTATGGGCTCCAATAATTGCCTCGTAAAGTTTGGAACCCACCAATATTTTGCCCCATAGGCCGGGGTACACTAGACATATTTGCGTGCTGTCTCAGCCGCGTCGTCCGTTGCCTCTCGTTGCGAAGGTCACGCTTGAGCTCTACCAACGTCTCATACAATTCATCCCCGTCGCGTCTCAAGGCGGTCATGCGGCTGTGAAGCTTGGCATTGTTTTCCGAGAGCTCCATAGAAATATGCCACATCTAACACTCCATCTTTGGAGATTTCTTGTTAGTATAGAAACTGAGCTGTGCGGGAAATCTTGTAAAGCGCTTACCATATCGGTGACTCGTGGCTCCCGGCGCAATGCGCAGGTTCGAAAGTCGTAGATCGCATATTTTTGGCAAGAAAATTTGAATAGTGAGAAAATATTTTGCTATCATGAATTGTTGGGATGCCTCCTTGGTGTGTATAAGATTGTTTGCGAAACATGGGAGACTTTGGGAGGGCCAAGCATATATTCTTACATGTTGATGCTGTGGAGACTATTTCTCCGTAGGTGAGTGCAGCACGATGAAATAAAGTTAGTTTAACCGAACGTTTTGACCGCCACACTGATCACTCAACGGCAGCTTTGCGATTTAAATACAAATGCAGACGGTAGAGAACTTTGCTTACAGCGAAAGTGATAAGAATGCTCTACAGGCTCAGGTGAACCCACATGAGCCAATTAGTGCTAATGCGTCACAGCTGCTAGAGCATCCTTATGCAGCATGAAGCGCTAACTCATCTCATATTTGGACTCCATTACAAAGCGCAGGATACTGTCAGGAACTTAGATGAACTGCAGGTCCCAGGAGTTCGGAACAAACAATGTCTGTTTCAATCGAACAGTTAATTGGCAACCAACAAAAAATTATCGGACTTGTATCATTTCGATTAACCTTTATTAACTCAGTTGTAGTAGCTGTTGGTGGTTTCTACAATATGATTTTGTCGAAGCTGGATAATTCCCATGTTACAATGACTGTTTTGATGGGTCATCAAGATAATGTGTGACACCCAACAGACGCCGTGACCCCTGTTTTAAAGTTCGATCGGAAGTGACTACTGTTACCTTACCTAAAATAAAATTTTCCCATCTCATGCGTCAAGGCAGGATAAGACTGTCAACCTGTCTATCTTGGATCTAAAGCTAACCGCTTACACAATCTTTACCTACATTATGTGTTCCATGGTGATCTCTAGTCCTATCGTTTTGCATCTACTGCAATGCATCTCGAGTTCATGCAGTCTCTTCACTGTACATTTGGGAAAGAGAGAGAGGTATCTATGTTGTACTACTTGAGTCTATGACTATCTGGCACATTGGGTTCCTCTCTAACCCAGGCCACACCCTGTACAGTGCTCCTAACCCTTTTAGTTACTTGGAGGATCATCGATATGTTGCCCTTGATTAATAGCCATTCAGTTCAGTATCTTCCCAAGGAATTCAGCCACCTTCTCCACGGAACCTTCTACCTAAAATAAATCAAATGGTAGCAATGGAAACTGCGTGCGCGGGAAAAACTCTCAAAAAACCTGAAGCCTCAGCCAAGCGAGGCCTAGATACCGGTGTGGATCCCGGAAAGATCTACAGGGCACGAATTAGCTAGATGTAGGAAACACAGCACACACGTAATCGTAATTATCCTATGACCTCACGCACAGCAAATCGCACTGTCAGAGCCCGCGACCACAGCAGTAGATCTACTAGCATTGAAGAGTAAGGAGTAATCAATGTACAAAGACACATAGACATCAGACACTTGAAGGATTTAGAATTCACGTATTAGTCTCAAGTTCTACTCAAGATCCTTCGTAGTTAGGAGCCACGAGATACCACGTGATACGTTTTCATTCTTACGCCCACCACACCATTTACTAAATATACAACGCGCGCTCGGAAACCTCACCGGGATCACATAAAGTGCGGACATTTATTTATATCTCATTTCTTTGTTACAGTAGAGACGGGTGGCGACGTAACTAACGACCTCTATCTGCCATGTTGCAGGGAATGAAGTGATTTGACTGCATGACAGGAAAGAGAAGAAAATTTTCGACTATCCTTATTTGAAATCCTGAGGGCCCATGTAGATTTTTTTCGGAAGATGTGTAATTTGCGTACTATCAATTAGGGGTAGAAAAGGTACAACTTCAAACTGGGCTACACGTGGGCTTCGATCGATCACAATTGAAATAGGGTGGTGACAAATATAACTCGGGGCTCTACTACAGCTAGTTCCGCAGAATGCAACAATTAAGCTTGAGTGTTAATAAATTTGTCTATGTCTCCTCCTAACTCCCGATTCCGAAATCTACACTTTGTGCGTAGCTTACTAATTTCAGGCTAACCGCATTTAGTAGTCTATGTTACATTACGTAGCCTACCACGTTTAGGATCCACATATATATCAGATTAGCCCTGCAGGTACAGTTAGACTAGCTCGAAACAGATTAGACTGTCTATCCTTATTATCCCGCTTGCCATGATTGACGGTTTATTTGTGACGAGCTCATGCCCTGCACTCAAAGCGCATAACACGAAGGAGATTAGCTTCCCCGACAACTATATACGACGATATTAGGTTGGATGGTGCAGTAGTACACCATCCGGGCCGTCCTCCCAAGTAGATACTGGGTAGCTCGAACACCAACCCCATTCGAGGCAGGAGAAAGCTGGTTCGAATCCAGTAAAACCCACAGACCACTCTCTCACGGTGATATTATACTTGTGTTATGATGAAAGCACACTGGGATAGCCACAGGGTTTTCACGCTTTTCCCTGTGGTTGGTATGCATGAGAGGTTGTACGCCGTAAGGGTTAACTTCGACTGGTACCTGCAAATGAAATCCAGTTGTGAGTGTTCTAAATGTCAAATTGAGTCATCCCACTTAAAGTACATATCTTCCAATGAAAACCTGCATAGGACTCAAGGCGCCAAATCAGGATATTGAATTGTACACATCTGCGACGATAACTCAATTCCACTTTTGGATTACTCATGCAATGGGTGTATTCGGTGATACCACTCGACACCTTGGTGCTAGGGACTTTCACCCTTCCCTCAACTATTAATATCCACCGAAGAGTAAACAGTAAAATTTTTTGGCTACCCTAACATGCCTTCGCCATCTTGTATGTAGCCGCCGCGCGAGATATGGCCTTACAGTCCTCCCTTTCTCGAGTGAGGTTGGTGTCCAGGCTACCCAGACTTTAATTCGGGGAGATGACAATAGGAGGCGGACCAAAACACCTTCCATCGCTGACAGTTTTTAGAGCGATAGCACTCTCCTAAATCGTTGCCCCTGCGCCCACTGACACCAAAAAGTCGTAAACATTCAAAAAGTGTGGGTCCCAGTATACCCATTTGTGACATCTTCACTCGTTCGTTTCACGTCCCAGCTGCTTATGCACCCTCAAGATGTGAAGCCCTATTAGAGCAAAGATTCGCCATGGACCGAGACCTGATCTTTGTAAAGTATGACTTAAATTCCTCTTTGTGGGTATAAATAGCATCGTAAATTTGTAGTGGGAGATGGCCGGTTTTTGATAAGGCAAATGCCCGATTCCAATTAGAGTAACGCCATTATCGGTATAAGAGACGGGATGGTGTGTTAAGATTGAAATAGAGAAACTGCGTGAGATTGATAATTCAAACATTGAATAGAAGTCGTCGATTTTAGATAAGCTTGAGGTTGCTTTCGGTTTCGATTCCTGTGCGGTTCTTTTCAGCTATCCCAGATATGCAGAGCATACTGAGCGATTACAACGGCACCACTGGAAGGTGAAGAATTCGTTTTATCTGGCGTATTGCTCGTATTGAGAGTCCGGCACTGTCCGTTCACGAAAATTGTTGATGACTAGCTCACACCTTGCTTAGTTGAGTCTGACTCGAGGATAGCTACTAGTTTTCGGGAGATTGGGATCATGTAAATCAATTTGGCTTTAGATGTAGAAGTAGATTTGTTCATCAGCTAATAAATAAACCTACCTTTCAACAAACAAAGGCTCAATCTCATCGGCGGACTGATTTACTACTGGATAATTTATCTTATATTTCACGATAGAAGCCACAAATAACTTCAAAATACTGACTAGAATGGAAACAAAATTTAAATTAATATCTAAATCATTAGGAGCTCGTGGCTTCTCTACTACAATAAAATCAATGACGTACAGAGGCTTCATGCTAGCATTATTTTTTCTTCACTCTGTCGATGGAAAATTATTCCTTAGGTCCCAAATGTACCCTACCAGTCATATTATATCCCCTCAAATTTAAATCTTGTACACTATTCGTTCGTGGGAGGTTATGATACTGTAGCCGCTTATACCCTTTTCGGAAGACTACCATAAGCACATCCTTTTTCATTGAATGCTGCATCGGCCGCAGCTTTCCAAAGAGCAGTGGCATCATTTATCATCGTTTCTGTATAAAACATTCTACAGTCTGAGTCTTCTCGGACGAACTGAGCTGGGAGCCCATCGCCCAGATGACTCCGGGAGATAAAATCCTGAGCGTTGATGTTACCACTGTAGGTTCTCTGTATGGCAACGGGTGTCAGCTTTTTCAAAACTTCTGTTTGGGCTTCCGAAGCATTTTGTAACGCTTCTTGTGCACAATTGAAAATTTCCTTCCAACTGAGAGACAGGGCTCCCTTATTTCCGCCTACCCCCTGCATGGGACCTTCTTTGGGCCGACCTCCTACGACAATAGATTTGACTCCTGCTTGATCCCGCATAAATTTGGAAAAACTGTGGCAGGCAGATGAGCAGATTCCATCGTGGAGCTGTAACAAATTAGCGTTAAAAAGTAGTCAATTGTTCTGTCATACCAAAATGATATTGTTTGCTTCAAAGTGCTGCGTGAAGTTCCGGCGGGATCCATATCCAGTAACAGAGCTGAAGGGGTGAATGTCAATGGAACTGAAGAAAGGATCATTCAAGTTATGTTGAATGGTGTTAGTAAAATTGTCACCCTTAACTTGGTACGGACCAAATTTATCATCGAAACTCCGAAATGGCTTTTTGCTCGCATCTAAATCAAAATGGTGGCTAAACCATGAAATATTCCATGGAATCTGATGGTCAGTGGTAATAGCAGGATCGAACTTATCTAATTTAGTAGCAAATATATCGGCCATAGCCATGAAAGCTTTTCCG